GTGCTCCGAGAGCGCTGCCTTGTCCAGCGCTTGGTTGGCCCTGCGCTCTGCCCCCGTGAGCCTCTGGTACTTGGCGTGCAGGGTCTCGACAGGCTCCTTGGGCAGCGGCAATGCGACCTTCTTGGATGTGTCGAGGGCCGCCTGACTGTCGGCGCCCACACGAGATTCGATTTCGCGCAGTATTGAGTCGAGGGAGGCCTTGGAGTCGTCGGAGGGAGCAGACTGGCCTCGCCCCTTCTTCTTGCCGTTGCCGTGGCTGTACGCGCGAGACCTCCAGCCAGAGTCGGACCACGCCCCGCCAGCTTCGCGCGGGGGGTAGGTAGGGATCTCGAGCGGGGCATTGCACGAGAAACATGTGTCTTTGCCGCGCCGCGTCCACTTGTATGCACGCTGCGTGCACTTGACATAGCCAGTCGCGGTCTTGCCCATGAGTGATCTGGGGGCAAAACTCGATGCTGTGTCGCCAGGCGGCTCACACAGCGGTGCGATGAGAACTCTTGGGTCGAGCCGCGGACTAGCGGTATCCATTTGTTTCCCTGGGGAACTCAAAACCTTGAGCCAAAATGGCGACGGGGCTCCTTGGATCGGCACACTGGCCCGATATTAAGGAAGTCTTTTTGGAGAAGCTCAGAGCAGGCATGTCTAAGCCTGCTCATGAGACTCGTGCTGCTGTGCCAGTTCATCGCGATGATGCTGCTGGATCGTATAGCGGACTCGAGCCAGCTGCCAAGAGATCTTTCAACGCATTCAGTGCGGATGAACAACGGCAGCTCCTTTAGTGCACAAAGGATTTCGATTTCAGCAAATTCACTGGATGCCCTCGTGAGCTTGCAAAGACACAGCGTAGATCTTGATGATCATGACTGGGCGTGCAGTGGCATGTGGGTCTTCTCCGTGTTCGCCGATGTCCGTGTCGCAGGTTTGCCAGTTGCCCTAGGCGCGCAACGACGAGCCCCCACCACGAGGCCCCAGGTATGTACGCTCCTGGTCTTCAATGGGAATGGTGGTGAGAAAGCGAGTCAAAACAATATTGACATATCCTCATCGCGTGTTTGGTTGTTGCAGGAGACAGGGTGGTATGCTAATGATTTTGATGTTTTCTCTCTTGGACAGCTGCGCGAGGATGGGGCATGATGGCGTTCCATGCGAAGCCGACGCGTAGGAATACGACATCTGCTGGTGTTGCAGTTCTGGTTCGCGGTGATCTAGGACTACGGTCACCAGACGAATGCGATCGCCAAGCGATGGCACACAGGTGCCAGCACGTGTTAGTGGAGATTCCTGGGTGGCCTGTGATGCACGTGATCAATGCAGACCTCGAGGTTTCCACTGGCGCGACAGGGATCAACGGTCGCATCCTTGCGAGGATTGGCACGCTTTTCTCAAGCATCGAAGCCCCGTGCCTGGCGGGTGATGACTGGAACTTGCGGGCGAGGCTTCTGAGTTTCCCCGATGGACCAACATCGCGATGGCGGTGCCGAGCCAGATTTCTTGCAGAGGTGGGACTGGACCCACGACTGTTGACGACTTTGCGCGAAACGATGAAGCGCCTCGAGGCTCGGAGGAGCTCGTGCTGATATCCAATGGAGTCGACGACCTCGCAGACTTGCATCGCTTCTGATGGTAGACAACGGCGAGAAGGTCAATCATGTCATCTACATCACAATGCGCTGGCGCAGACATGCAGAGACTTGGCGAGTGACGACGCGAGTATGTCGCAGTGGCATGGGCTTTGTTGTCTCGTGCGTGGGCCGAGTTTGCGGTCGCAGCTGCATTTGGCGTGGCGATGCGACAGGTGCTGACCTGCCTGAGGCTGGAGGCTTTGGGCGCCGTCTGCAACCGATAGGGGTCGATGTGGAATATGCCGAGAGCACCGACAGTATGGCGGCGGCAGTCGCTGGAGGTTGTCAGTGGGTGGCAGCTGGCGTCTTTCCAATTCTGCAATTGAATCGTGGCGCGGATAGTCTAGACTAATGTTCGGAGGAGATCGCCGACTTCCTCACCATTCAGTACTGTGGTCAAGGGCTGAGTGGCGGTTTGATGCATCACTTGCGCAGGCGCGCGGCGAAGTTGGACATGCTCCGGTTCTCACGAGTGTTTGGGTCAGCCTTTGGGTGATATTTGATGATGCGGTTTGCGCAGGAGGGGGTGCGCATGGATGCGTTTGAGTCGTGGGCCAGCCGGTGTCTAGAATTGTCTGCCAGAAGAGCTCGAGGATTGCAGTGGGGCCAGCAGTGAAAGCAATGCTGGCTCCCTCTGTGTCACCGCGTCGAATGGTTTCGGGCGGCCTACTCCTAATCGTTCGAGCAGAAGTTGGTGCACGTCGAAAACTATAGGGGGCGTCTGATGCTGCCCCTCGTGCCCGGGCCCCTGATCGCAGCTGGCGCCCGAGACTATCGCCGGGTGCAGTTCGCCAAGTTGTGAGGGGCGTCCCCAATTGCGCAACATTGCCAGCTGGTCATTTCACCCTGGCCAGGCACTCTTCCTGGGAGGCGTTCGG